GCCACCGTTTGCCTTTGTTAGTGTTACTTCTGCTTCTCTATTTATATTCTTTATTCCTGTCGTTGTTTCTGTCTTTCCAGTTGCCAATTTTTCGACTCTGTCCTGGTTGCCCGACAGAGGACGCGGACCTTGTTTACCCGGGCGACATCCGAGCCGGTATGGATTTCGATTATGATCGTTCATGGTTGGTTTCTTTCGTCTTGTTCTTTTTACAGACGGCGGTATCTGCACCCCTTCCGTCAAACGCTCCTCCTTTATTCGGACTTGCGACCGACACAGAAATCGCAGAGTTGCGATCTCCGTGGTGGAGTTATGTTTTACGATAAAGACTTATATTGATTCCAAAATGGCTTCTAGGATCAGATATTAGTTTGTTTCACCTTTGACTAACATCATATTTACTCCTTTTCACCGTTTTCTTTCGTCATATATTTCCAACAATACCAGAGCTTGAAACCAGAGTGTCGAATCTAGATGAAGTTCTGGCTCAAAGTCTATTTTCTCTCGAAGTAAATGTTGAGAAATCATTATTGAGAAAATAATTTTTTTAACAAAAATTTTTGTTTGCAAAAGCATTATCAAGATAATACTTTACACACTTAAATATCTCTAATTGAATGAATCGAGGAACATTAATACAAATCATGTAAGTATATAAGGTTATTTTATTAAATCTAACTTATCAAACCATCTTTCCCATCCCCAGAATGATTTTGATAAGAAAAAAGAAACATTTCATTGAAAAATAACCCATATTTTCGTTAACCTAAGATGTGCTATATAATGGAAAGCAATATTAAACGTTCAGAAGTCCATCTATTGTTGATCTGATCGATGTGATTCTCTACATGCTACCATTGCAAAAATTACTGTCACAACAACAAGTGTATATCTGTTGACCAGTAGAGTCGTACATCCATCTACATCCAGTTACGACACAAAGACCAGGTTCAGCAGGACCGCGACTGTTTGGAGCATTTGGATCAGATGAACGACTTTTTTTCTATACATTAAAATGAAAAACATTGATTTTTAATAATTTAAATTAGTCTTTATCTTAATTGATGAATTCGACTATACTTACAGCACAAAATCCTGTATTTGCTATACCTCTTGAAACATATGGTGAGTTTGGAGTGAATGGATTAGGACAATTCGCACAAAAGAAGCAATTCACATAACCATTAACACAGACTATAGTGAATACAATCAATTTGAGAAAGTAAATAAAATAATCCTCTCACCAACGCAGACTACCAATAATGTTATCAATACAATCAGATTTTTCATCTTGTTCTTGTAATTGAAAGATCAATTTTGATGTGAATTGAGTTGGTCAGTGATTGCAACAAATGCAAGTATTGAGAGAAAATTATTCTCATTGATATTTATGTAAGAAATATTGACTCATAACAAATAAATAATATAAAATAGGGTTGCTCTTCGTTATCTTTTTATTTGCAAATATGAAAGGGCAAATTTCTTACTGATGATAATGAGAGATTGTGCATATGTCTTTCATGCGATAGAGAGTGCAAAGTCAATCAAGACTGTTAAATGAAGAAAAAGTCCTATCTAAAATAACATATTATTAACTTAAAGTATCAAAAACCACTTCATTCTTGTTTCGAAGTACATATTACTTCATTTCCATTCAATTTTGTTCAAGTAATGTGAAGTATTAGTCTTGATTTTATCAAAAAGAAAACAATTTTATTTGATTGGATAATTTTTCATCAAGGTTAAATTATGTACCATGATAGCAACATATGTATTTGCTCCCACAATGCATGACATTGTTTTACTCCATCAAAGATTGCAACAATATATATTTTACTGTCGTTTAACATTTATTTTTTTGCAAAATATAACGACGTGTTTTTTCTATATATGAAAATACTTTTAATCAAGCAATGTTTTAAATTGTTTGTATCCATTTTCAAATAAGTTTTTCAAACCAAACAAAAAGATAAATTATTATCAAATATCTGTGTCGACATTAAAAAGGAGAGATTGAAAAATCAACTAAAAATTTATTTTTCTTGATAGATTCTTACAGAAGATTTGCTTTTACGAAGAAGAATACAAACTTGTTCAGCATGCGAATAGATCTGACATTTTCACTTTAGTTTAGGAGTTTAACTTAAAAGTAATTCACGTTAGTACTGCATTGTTAACAAATCAAAGGTAAGGTAGATGTGTTGAGAGAGTTATTGAAAAACAGACTGTCCTATCTATGATGAGAAACAAAGATAAATACAATCTGCTGGTATCTCACGTTTGCTTCTCAGCAATCAATTTTTTTTGTCGAGAGTTAGATGAATAAAGAA